ATTTTTTCTCTTCAAACCCAAACAGTTATACTATTTTTTTTTTTGGGGGGGAGGGAAGGGGAGAGAGACTTGAACCCTTGACTTCAAGAAGACAAAGTCTTTACCGGACAAGGAGTACTATTGAACCAAATGTCCATTAATAATAAAAAGAAAACTTCACTTCCAAAGAACATTATACTATCGAAACAATATTTTACTGTCTTTAAAATCATGAAATTGGATAGTATAATAACAGCTATTTCATTTTCTATTTTCATAAAGTCGACGATGCCATTTAAAACTTTAAGCCAAACAAATCAAAAACATTACCCACAGATGAAATATGGTTAGACAATTCAAAATAGATCAAACATATAAATTTAAAAGATATTTTAAAAACAGATAAAATAGATAAAACAGACAAATTAAAACAATAATGAATATCAAAGTTTTACTAAAACAAATAAATTGACTGAAAATAATTTTAAAAAATCTAAGATTTATTAAAATAGAGATGAATTAAAAAAACAAAATATATATATATGATACATATAAATTCATGTGACATACAATGAAAATTAAAGTTTTATTAAGATAGATAAATTCAACTAAAATATCATTGAAAATTAAGTTTATAATACAAATAAATTTATGTTACATATAATAAAAATTAAAATTTTATTAAGATAGATAAATTGACACAAAATAATTTTAAAGACCTAAAATTTATTAAAAAAAAAATAAATTCAAAATAAAATAATCATGGAAAGCAAAGTGTAGGATATAGATAAATTCGTTAGTCATATTTTCTCTAAGACATTAAATTAGATGAAAATCACTGTTTCAAATTTTGGACAATGAACTAGGAGGTTCAATCTATTAAAATTTGTTGTTTGTGAAAACTGTGGACAGTTAATTAGAAATTTTATTTTATTAAAGTTCATTGTTTGTGAAATTTTTTTTGAACCAAGAGTTCCATTTTGTTTAAATTCACCACTTTTTGAGTTGACTATTTATATTTTTTTTATTATTTTTTGAATTCACTATTTTTATATATTTTTTTCAATTTAAATTTTTAATAGTTGTATAGTTCACTGTTTGTAAATTTTTTAAACAACGAGCTAGGAGTTTTATTCTATTAAAGTTCATTACTTATGCAAATTTTGTGAATTAAGAGTTTTATTTTTTTTTAAAGTTCACCATTTATACTTTTTAATATTTTTGAGTTCCCTAATTTTTTACTCTTTTTGGTGGTGATAGTTGGCCGCGATGGTGATTGTTCACTATGTTTAGTTTATAGTATTAGAATTCACAATGAACTAGAAGTTTCATTCTACTAAAATTTATTATTTTTGGGGTTTATTGTTTATGTTTTTTCAATATTTTTTTTGAGTTTGTTATTTTTGATATATGTTTCTCAATTAAAAATCTAAATATTTTTGTAGTTCACTATTTGTGAAAATTTTGTATACTGAAGTAGAAGTTTTATTTTATTAAAGTTTACAATTTGTGAAAATTTTGTGAGTTAAGAGTTTCAATATATTAAAGTTCACTATGTTCTGAAAATTTTGTAAATTATGAGTTTTATTATATTAAAATTTATTTTTTATATTTTTTTAATATTTTTGTGTTCACTAATTTTTCACTGTTTTGAGTGGTGCATGGTGGGCATTGATGATGGATAGGGGTGGCAGTGGGTGGACAATAGTGGGCGGTGGTGGGCAGGTGGTTGTGCCATTGGTGGGTGGTAGGCCTGTCAATTGAGTGAATTTTAATTCGAATTCTAGTTCATTTAACCAAATATAGATTAATACTTTAATCTGTTTACACAATTCTGGTTAAGTTTCTTTAAATGAATTTAGATTTGGATACATGAAAAATCGATCCAATAAAAATCTGATCCAATATATATATCATTGATTTACGTAATTGGAAATAACCAATTAGGTTTACGACAAAACCTAGAAATTGATCACTGATCTAATTTGAGTACTTCTATAGGATAGACCTCAACAAAAAACTAAAGAGTAATGGCAGCAAGTGATTGAGTTCAGTAGTTCCTCATATAAAATTATTGACTTTAGAGATATAGTGATATGGAGAAGACAAAATTGTTTCAAGCACCTACAGAATCGGAAAGCACTCCTTCTTTCAAAGAGAGGAGGACGGGTTATTCACATTTCATTTGATGGTCAGAGACGAGTTGAAAGCTAAGCAGTGGTAATTCTAAAGATTTTCAAGGGAAAAATAGAGATGTCTCCTACTTTACCCATAATATGTGGAAGTATCGGCGTAATTTCATAGAGTCATTCAATTTGAATGCTACATGAAGAATATAAGCCAGATAATATATATATATATATATATATATATATATATTAATTGAAAGAAATTATTGTATATACTTAGTTAGATTATTAATGAGATTGACATGAAATTAAACATAAATTATTAAATAGAATGATTGTTTGATTAAATTAGGTTGAAATTTAACTTAAATTTGATACAATTATTAATTTTGTATGAATTTTGTTAGGATTCAAATGTTTAAATCAAGTTAGATAATCAAATTAGATATCGGATTGTTAACGAGTGCGGATATAGATTAAAATTTTGAAATTCATAAGATAAACGGATTGCATTTGAAACTCAAATTTTTTATCAGATTCGGATTTGGACAGACCAAATTCCAATCTGGTGATAGCCTTAGAGGGTGGTGGTGATGGGCAGCTGCGACAAATAATGGTGGGTGGTAGTAGCGATGGTAAAGGGGTGGCGAATGTTGGTGGCAGCAGTGGGTGATGATGGTAGTGATAATAAACATAAAAATGAGATGATGATGGTGAAAATAAAAGGCTTCAGGTTAAACCTAACACCTAAAAAGTCCCCGGATGTGAACATGTGGTCGGTTTTACCAAAAAAATAAAAACAAAAAATGTTGGTATGACTTCTCACTCCAAATCCAAAGTTTTAGTTCAAACCCAGGACTAAATGGAGCACCTAAAACCTAGCTTAATAGGTGGATTTTTACCACCACACTGATTAGTAGCATAGGGCATAGAGGCCCAAACCTAACTATGGCCACCCCACCAAACCAAGGGGACAGAGCAATCATGGCAACAAAAAATAACAAAGGAAAAATCTCATAAATATTCTTGCTACCTTTATAATTTTTATTTTACTTGTCCCAATTTAATTTTATACCTTTAATAATGTAATTTAGTTCAATTAAGTTTTGGATTAATTATAATTTGCCCCTCAAACTATGCAGGCTCTCTATGATTTTAAATGTTGTAATTTATCCTCTCGAAGTTTTAAGTAGATTAAATTGACCGATATCAATGGTTAAAAACTTAGAATAAAAAAGTATCATTACACCCTCTATCTTGTATATTATTTTTTATATATATATTTTTTGAGATACTAATTCTATTCCTAAAAATAAGGAAACGAAAAAGTCAAGAAGAAATACATCTATTCAGCCCAATATATACATACTACACAATACAATGTTTGCCTTCACCTTCACTGCAACCTCCACCCAACACACACGCGTGCGCGCGCACACATAATCACACTCCTTTCAGGTGTAATTGTGCTTTTTCAACAAAGTAGAGATCACTTGAATTTTTCAAGTTTAATTTATGTCATTTTTTGTGATTGAAAATTAATTGTTGGAGTTAATTATAAAATATTCAAACTTAAAGGGTGTTATTTGTTGAGATTAAAGGGCTACCCAAAATTAAATGGGGAATTTTGTAATTAACCCTTAATTTTTCCTATTAAAATTACTCAACCTATGAAATACTTAATTAATTTATCTTAATAGAAATGATTGACTAAAACAAAAATATATAATTTTTAAAAAAATTATGATAATTAAAAATTTATGAGTCAATTGAAAAATAACATTCATAATGGAGGAGGTAAATATGAGACAAGCAATGTTATTAAGATATAATTGGGGACTTAATGATTTGTGCCCATTGAATTGTCAATGGCTCTTTGGATCGACTCTACTATTAATCTAATATTTAGAGCACCTTCACATTTTACTCAAATTTAAATTTAAATTTAAGTAAAAAAACTTACTTCAACATTTGACTCAAACTTATATCAAATCAAGGGAGATTTAAATATTTACCTAAATCTTTAATAGTGAGATTTTATCCCCTTACAAAGATATAATGGTCATCTTTATTATTTTTTAAATTTGAGTTTACCCTCATTTAAATTTGGGTTTTCTTCTTCTTTAAATTTGAGTTTGTCAATTGAAATCTTTTGTATCAAATTAAATTTTTTACTCAAATATTAATTTAAATTTGAGTAAAAATTTGAATTATAATTGGATATGTCCTTACAATGTATTAAGTCTCCAAATTATATCCTTAAATTATATATCAATAACAATAACTTCGTTCGGTAAGAAGGATGTCCTCCAAAAAAAATAGTATAATGGATAGAAAATAAAAATAATTAATTTTTGTGTGATTGATATTGATGACAAAATAAAAGAATGAAAATAATATACATACATACTTTCCTATTTTATACATACAGTTGAGATTACTATATATATTATATACTATGTCACTATAATACATGCATCATGTTTTTTCACAAACATAAATCACATAAAAATACATCTATTTTTTATTTGATTTTTCTTTAAAAAATAAAAAATACACACTCTAATATATAAACACACGCAGTGTTAATACATAATATAATTTTATTAATTGGTATATGAATTTGAGTTTAGATGTACATTGGATTTTAGTAGATCGAAATGAAAGATAATCCATCTAATTTTTTATTATTTTTATTTTCTTTTATTACCGAATATAATGTTTTATATTTTTTTTTATTTTTTATTTTTTATTATTCTATTTTTTTCATAGTACTATACGGGGAATTAGGTTTCTTGGATTTAGTCGGTACCAAAAACATACATTCCTCGTATAAAATATCTTCAGATTCCGGAAGGAAATACCGTCAGATTCGTTTTCAGCTCTATTTGCTATTTTCTGGGGCTGTGAGCGAGAACAGAGTCCCACCTGTTTCTGTTTCTCTTCCTTATAAAGACTCTAGTTTTCACCGCCTCTCTCTCTCTCTCTCTCTCTCATTCTCTACTCAGAACCCAAATAAAATTCCATATACTCAAAATCTCAACACTGCTCATCCTATGCCCCACAATGCATTTTTCTAATACCCATTTGGCCAAAATGGAATATTGTCCTTCTTTCCCTATACCAAATTGCTTGGTTACATGATTACTGCATTGGGGGTATTTCCTGAATCCTTATACAAAGCTTTTTTCTGAGGATTTGAGTAATGGGTAGAAGAGAAACGCAAGTTTTGGAGGGCAGAAAAGATGGCTTTTTCTCCGACTCTCAATTGAGACTTCAATGGAGTCTCCAAGATGGAAATTTCCACCCTGGTGGCTTATTTGCTTGTGTGGGTCAAATGGGCAACATGGGTTTTGGAGTTTCACCAAATTCGCCCAATTCAAGAGACGATAATGGTGGCTTGAAGCTTCCATACACTGATTTGTTTGTGAAGTATTTGTCATCGCCAGAGGGTTTTAAATTTGTGGGTGTTCCAGAAGAGGAAGGGAGTGTGAAGAAGAAGAAGAAGAAAGGTGGGCTTAAATTGAAGGTGAAGATTGGAAACCCTTCGTTGAGGAGGTTGATAAGTGGAGCGATTGCTGGGGCAGTTTCTAGAACTGCTGTTGCTCCATTGGAGACAATTAGGACACATTTGATGGTTGGAAGTAGTGGACATTCTATTACTGAGGTGTTCCATGATATCATGAAGACTGATGGGTGGAAAGGATTATTTAGGGGCAATTTTGTTAATGTGATTCGGGTTGCGCCAAGCAAAGCCATAGAGGTAAAATGGATGTCTTCTGTTTTTAGTTTGATTTCGATCATTTAGTGGGTTTTATTGTTTTTGCCTATTAAAATTGTATATGGTTGCTTGGTTGCTTTGTAAAGTAGGATATGCTGGTTTAGCTGTTTAGTTGATTCAAGAATTTAGGTGGGAATTTTTTGCTACTACACTTGTTTAGTTCCATTTTAGAATCTACAGAGATGAACTTGTTTTGCTTAAGCATCAAATTGATGGCTTGAGGATGAGGTCAACTGCAGCTTTACTGGTTTCTGCTACCCAATTTCTTCATGTGGCTGCTTTTTTTGTCTGTTTTCATTATGCTTTTTGGTTCTTTGACTGATTGCTTGAGTTCTGACGGTTTGGACAAAATCCCTAGTTTTTGTTTCAGTTATGCCTTCATCACATTTTAGTTTCAGTTGAAGAATTAGTGCCTGTATGTTCCACATGCACACATTGGGCTTTCTAATTAGTTTTCTGGAGACAGATTACTGAATCTTCTTTTCGTATATCTGGTGTGGTTTTTCCACTGTAGACTAAGTAGTCTGAAAAAATGTTTGAGCACTTAAACTGTTATGTGATCTTGTGGTTCATAGTGACAAAACAAAAAGCTAAACCTGTGGACCTTTGTTTGATCTTCTGTTGTAATGAATTTTGTCGAGCTCAGTGTTCCAAAGAAAGGCTACTACAGAGCCATTCTTTTATTATCTCCAGTGTGATGCTTCTAGCAATCGTTGTTGGTTTACTCCAACTTACTAGCAGAGTAGCTTTGGAGTTCCTTTGTTTTTTTTTTCCCTAGTTATTTGGCTATTGCTGACACAGTATAGTGATCTTATATCTATCCTTCCAAATGCCATTGAACATTTTGACTAGCACTGGTACATTTGACCTTTTTCACTTCTTTTGGCTAGTGTGCTTGACCACCAGTGTCTCGCCTTTTTTTTTTTTTTGGGGGGGGGGGGGAGGGGAAGGGGGGAAAGATGACTGGTCAATTGTTTGGAGCACTACCCAAAAGGTATCTCAAGATTTATTTATAAGACTCTAGATTTTCCACTATTTCTTCAGCCCATATCTAATTGGGTTCAGCTTATGTCCTCAAAATGAATTCCCTCATATTGGACATGCCATTTTGTGTTTTGAGTAATATTCCACATGCTTCCAAGCTGCTTACTGAATGATGCTTTGTCTCCTCTTTTTCTTTGCTGAAACCATGGTTTATTTTTTGCCTTCTAAGCATGTTGGAACGAAACATGTTTTCTGGTTTCTCAAGTGGATGCATTCTTTGAGCTTGCAGAGTGTGAAGAATGCCTCAGTAGTTTTGCATCAGATGAAACATTTTTCATCTTTCTATTCTTTTGAGTTCATGTGCTGTTTTTATTTTTTACTTCCCAGCCTCTTGTTCCAATCGCCTTTTGGTTTATTAGTTGGACCACTCTTAGGTTTGACTATTATGATGGCCTAAAGTGGGATAGTGGTGGGAGTTGGGGGTTATGTGTGGGTCTTATGTAAGTCTCTCGGTGCCCAAAGCATCCAATAAGTAGTAATCCCTGCCTCACCAAATGCATACATATATCATTAGGTTCCCTTGTACTCTTTACTCCATGTTTGTGTGGAATGACCTGTGTATTCCATGGATTGACATCAAATAAAATCAATGCCAAATGGTCAATCCCATAGTACTTAATGCTAAAAACTTTTGACTAAAATAGATGCATAAATCAAGTTCAGCAAAGAGTGAAGTTATGCTTTGAATTTCACATTTACGTATCTAATTCTATTCTGACGTTACATGTTTCTGGAATCTTTGCTGAGATTTTTTAGTTTTACTCTGCAGCTAGCTGCTTATGATACGGTCAACAAGAACTTGTCACCCAAACCTGGGGAACAGCCGAAACTTCCTATACCTGCATCACTTGTTGCAGGGGCATGTGCTGGAATCAGCTCCACGTTGGTGACATATCCACTTGAATTACTTAAGACTCGTTTAACTGTAGAGGTAAACAGTAAACTTGAGGCACAAGCGGCAATGCAGTTTAGTCTTCGCACTAGAAATCGTTGGTTAGATGTATAACGACTATCTATAATTGGTTTGATTTTGTTGAATATGCAGAGAGGAGTTTATGATGGTTTGTTTGATGCGTTTATTAAAATATTGCTGGAGGGAGGACCTGGAGAGCTGTACCGAGGTCTCACACCTAGTCTAATTGGTGTGATACCGTATTCCGCCACAAATTACTTTGCATATGACACGTTAAGGAAGGCCTATCGAAAAATCTTCAAGCAAGAGAAGATTGGCAACATAGAAACACTCTTGATTGGATCCACGGCTGGTGCTATATCAAGTAGTGCAACGTTCCCACTTGAGGTGGCTCGCAAGCACATGCAGGTCGGGGCTCTTAGTGGAAGACGAGTGTACAAGAATGTGCTTCATGCTCTCACGAGCATACTTGAACAGGAAGGGATCCAAGGGTTGTATAAAGGCCTTGGCCCCAGCTGCATGAAGTTGGTGCCTGCCGCTGGGATTTCATTCATGTGCTATGAGGCATGCAAGAGGATTTTGGTTGAGAAAGATGATGACGAATAGAAGAGATTTTTTCAGTCGAACTAGTGTTACTGAGTTCCCTGGTTTTTGGAGCATGGACAGAAAATGGCATAAAATTTTATATCTCTTGATTAATTTCTGTTGCATCTTTCTTTTTCCCTTCGAATTTTTTGTTTGAGATTCAGTTCTAGGAGCCTGGTTTACGAGGTTAGAACTGATACGTCTTAAACAACCATTATAAGCGAACTTTCGTTTTTTGTTTTTGTTTTTGTTTTTTGTGGAAGAATGATCAAATTGCAGTATACCGTTTGAGAAGGCACTTAAGGAGATTTTTTTTTTTCCCTAAAATCTTTTAGTTTTGTTATCCTTATAGTCATTATTAGAGATGCATTGTTTCTCATGTATAACATTTCTTAACACGATATTGTGTTAAGGAAATTTAGGAGGTTTTACAACACCATCCCTGCAAATAGCTTTTGAAAGCTACTTTGGGGTTGAAAGCTACTGATCATGGTTTCAGTTGGCGATTGAATTCGACTCACTGATTTGACTTTGATACCGAAGGAGGTACAATACCGAAGTTTATTGCATTCGTGGTTCAAAACATAATTTTTTTGGGGTTAACTTACAATAAAAAAAAAATGGATTTTAACATTTTAAAATCGACTATAAAAGAACTTTACTTTAGGAGTCTAAGTTATATGTTTTTGAGAGTTGGTTACAACCTTATGCAGTTTTGGGATTGATCTTATATTTTTATGATCAATTCCAACCCACCCTAAAAAATTATAAATGACCCATAAAAAATTGTATATCGTGGTACGATCGTTTTTGTTTTTAAAGTACCGTAGAATTCTCAGAGACTTATTTTTAAAAAAAAATTATGATTGTTTATAGTTGTAGTGTTTTTTGTTTTTACCTATTGAAATATTGTTGGAACTTATTTAAAAAAATGAATAGCTCAGTTCAAATATAATATAACTACATTAAAAGTGTACAATTTGCATTCTATAATGCACATATATCTACTTTTATAAAATAAGTAATTAATATGATTTTATTTTTTGATGAAATTGCCTTTTTGCTTGAAATTAGATACTCAAAAAAGTGTTACCAAATGGAACATAAGTTTTTTAAAACAAAAATTAATTGATCCTAAATCTTAGAATTTATCCTGGTATTTTAGAATCAGTTTAAAATAGCCTTATTTTATCGTAATCTTAAATTACAATTCTACCTTTTATTGTATAATAATTTTTAATATGATATCAAAAATATTTTTTTTTTCTCATAATGAGAAACTTCTCCAAAGATAAAGTCACTTTGAATTCCCCTTGCAGGATAAATCTAAGATATTTACGGTTTTGTCTAAACTCAACTCACTTCTTAAGGGGTGGATTTTAAAAAATTACCCTTGTATATTGTACCCTTTTCTGCACGACAGACCCAATTGCCAATTGCATTGCTTGCCTATTCTTATTTATTTATTGATAAGATATGATTAATTATATATATACTACTTATAAATGTCAGTATCTATAAAATTTTTTTGATTTTTTATTTTATTCCTAATTATTATAATAAAATTAATTATAACCACTTATATATTTTTATCTAATTTTTATTTTTTTACTCTTATTTGACTTTCAACTTATTTTTGACTCTTTTATAAACACTTCTAAATTTTTTTGAATTCATTTATTAGTAATATGAAGAAGTAAAGTCATATATATGTTAAATTATTATATACATGTAGTTATTAGATTGAATTTCATGGTCAAATACATGTTATATTTTATTTTTTGGTATGCAATAATATAATAATATTATAAATGATATAACTAATTTAATTAACAAAATAAAGAGATTCCTAAATAAATGACAGATTAAGTACACAAAAATTTATAAAATAAAGTAATAATTATATTTGGTGATAATTAAAATACGAATTAATTATTCGACATGTAATTTATTATTTAATTTAACTATACATATATTTCACTTTTATAAAAAAAAAATATTATTTAAATTTGTTTATATCCAACGCACGTCAAATATGAGAATCAAGCCGAAAAGGAGCATCCAAAAAGACCGGACTTACTCCCCTCCATACAATATATGTACGCTATGACTTCTGCACGATAGATGGATGGACATATATTTTCGTTGGTGAACTCAAGTTTACTTAAAAGTAGAAGACCCTGTATCAAATAGCTATTAAGGAATGACATTTGATAAATTATTTTTTCAACTGTTCGGCCGATCGACACTTATCGACATGAATTTTGTCACTCAAAAAGAAATGTTAGAATGTCGCTAGAGTGTTTTTTGGCATGATCCTTTCGACAATTAAGTCGGTGTATGAGAGGGGTAGAAAATATTGTTCTATTACTTGGGTGAGAATGGGTGTACCTTTATTCGAGTTTATAAGAGTTATTTATATTTTCATGGAGTTAATTATTGCGGACAGGTAGGTCTCCTTGGAGGAAGATCCCTTATTGGATCATATGGAAGATGATATGTGGCGCATAGTCCTAACACAGAATGTCTTTCCTGTTATGTGAAAAAAAGTTTATGCATTTAATGCTCGAATGACTTAATATTTAATACTCTTCTTATGAGTGCGTTGAATAATAAATGTGTCACATCCTTCTCAAGGGTCATTTAATATTTCCTTGAGGTGGTTGCACATGCGTAGGGGCACTTTTGTCCATTGACTTCCAATTATATGTTGTTCACCTCATGCATCATTATTATTGGTTAGTAACCTGTCATTCTGACTGCTTTGGGAAGGAGAATTAATGATTATTGACCAATTTCGATTCCAAGTCTCGAAAACTGTCAAAATCGCCATTCATACTCCGCCGATATGGAAGACTAGGCGCCTAAGTGACATGTCTGGTGAATGTTCCTCGGGTTGGGACATACGCCAATGACACGTGCCACCACAACAACACTCCGGTTGCCAACGCCGAGGACACGCGTCAGTTGTAGAGAGCTCCGAGAGAATACATGCCGATGACATGTGTTAATGTACGCGGTGTCTAGAGTACCTCTTCGTCGAGGCCACGTGTTGCTCTCAGAGAGATCAGAGGGTTACTCATGCTGAAGACATGCGTCGCCCAAGGGAGTGCCCACATTCTTCATGCCGAGTACACGTGTCAATTTCCTGTTAACTCTCTGAAATGTCCCATCATAACACAATCTGTTGCATTTTCAGCATATCTAGTTAATATATGAGCAACACTATTGTTAGCTCCACGAATCCAAAAGCATTCAAGAAATTGCCAACTAACACATGAATCCTATCCAAAAAATGCCCATTATCGCTTAGGATCCGAATCCAAAGCCAGTTTAACAGCTACAAAGGCTGCCCAAACTGCTATGTGTTCCGCCTTAGTAATTCCTCTAATACATTTGCTAAAACCAGCCACAAATCATCCATTCCAATCCCGGATGACAACACCAATCCCAATAGTAGACATGGACAAAAATAAGAGCTCCATCGAAATTAACTTTGTACAAACTGTGAGAAGGAATAGCCATGACTAAGAACCCTCATTTTCAGGGTGGTTGCATTGGAATGGAAGAACGAAGCTGGGCAGCCTTGTACTAATTCAAATAAGAAATGGAGAAGGCAACAACCTGATATGGACAACTTACTGCCTGACCCAATCGAGCTCTATTCGTATTGTACCAGACAAACCACATAAGCACCGCAACAAATTCCAATTGATCTGGCAGCAATTTAATAGAAAGGTTCAACAGCCAATCACGAAGGCTGGGAACGTCATCTTGAGAGAGGGAAAATTCAGCAACTTCCCAAATGTGTGTAATAAAAGGGTAATTCAGAAAAATATGCTCTAGAGACTCTGGATAGTCACCATATATAAAACACTCATTTTCCACTGGAACTTTTTTATGAAGAAGATTAACTTGGATAGGCAGTATACCCAAAAAAAGTTTCCATACAAAAATCTTAATTTTGCCTGGAAGAGATAAATTCTACATAAAGAATTTCGTATCCTTCTTACAGCAACGAGTAATTTTGTGTTTATGCAAATCTTGCTCCATAACCAAATGGTAACCACTATGAACTACAAACGACCCAGACATTGTATAGTGCCAAACCAGAGAATCAACATTGTCATTTAGCTTTGCAAGATCCCAATATCGTCTAGCAGGATCTATCAGATTACTCACCAATATATCAGCTGAAACATTCCGCAGAGGACTAAAAACTTTAAAGGTCAGAGGCCGAGGAATCCACTAGATTTTAATTGAATCTCCATTCCCAACTTGCCAACGCAGACCAGAATGAATTACTTTCCTGGATGCTAAGATACTTCGCCAAGTATATGCCGGACGAGACGCCAATTGACTATCCATAAAAGAAGAAGAGGGAAAATACTTAGCTTTAAGAACTCTTGCTTAAAGAGAATCCGGTTTTTTGATTAATCCTTTTCTATTATAATTTTATCCTATCGCCATTGCCTAAGTCCACAACGACAACAATTGGATATTTTCACTATGGAATAAAACAGGAGTAAAAGATAGTTATTTTAAACCCCACAAGTACTCACTTCAACAAAAGTGGATCACTTTGATATATAACTGCTATCACTTGTTGCAGAGAAAGAATGAAGAAAATGGGAAATATACTTGTAATTTTGGATGATTTGTTGACAGGGCTTGATTTGGGGACTATAGGAATTCATCACAATAATGTTCACAACGGGTGAAAATTTGTTGTCCTGTCTCAAGACCAAGATGTTTGTAGTAAGATGAATGCTCAGAAAAATTTTTCCCATCGAAGTTTTGTCTGAGCCAGATGCATGGACTTTATTCAACAAAATAGCAGGTAATGTTGAGAGTTGCGAGATGTGTTTCCAAGAGTGCGGAGGCTTGCCCATTGCAATTGTTACTGTTGCAGCAGCTTTGAAGGGTAAGAATTATCATGTGTGGACTGATTCACTTCGCAAATTAAGGAATGCAGAGTTGAATGACATTAAAGGCATGCATGCAGAAGTTTATTTAAGGCTGGAGTTGAGTTATAACTTTTTGGAAAGTGAAGAACTCAAAAACTGTTTCTTACTGTGTTGTCTACTCCCAGAAGATCATGATATTCCAGTCGAGTATTTGTTGAGATATGGAATGGGTTTAAGGTGGTTTGGAAATGTTACTAATATAATAGAAGAAAAAGACAGAGCACACACCTTGATTGAAAACCTAAAACCATGTATATCTTATATAATACATCCACTTGGATATGGATAAATAGAAAGAGTTCTTCCTATGTTT